GTGAAAGGGCTCTATTCACTGAGGAAAAGAGAAGCGCTGGTTCCTCACAAACTGCTTTTCCCAGTTACAGACGAATGCAATGATTGATTTATTGTTTTTGTGATTAATCTGATCTGACTCATTTGGCATATCATGAAATACGTTTGAATTGATTTTCACAAGCTGTCTGGTTCAGTAAGGCAGGCTGTTATTGAGGTGTTTTATTGCCGTTAAGAGTGTCTTCTATCATATGAAGTACACTGAATATGATTAAGATTGACTATATACGTAAATCCAGCAAATTGTCCTGTATTTTGAGCATGAAAGTGATGGAGAATACCAGTGGTTTTGGTGACGAACAGCTAGTGACAGGCTTCTGATGGAAGGCAGATAATTCCTTGGTTTCCTGTTGGAGTGAGGTCACATGAGGACTTCCTGTGTGGCTGTGCTGACTAGACACACACACACACACCCATACAGTATCGTACACAGGAAGAAGATCATCTTATGCTTGAATGCTCAGTCTCTGTCCATGAAAGCCAGTGCTCTAAACACACGCATTATTTATTTCTTTGATGCAAAGAGCATGATCTGTTGTGACAGCAGTGGCAGCTTCCAGTAAAGTCACCTATTACTGAGACACAAATCTGAACGATTAAGTTTCCTTAATTATAAAAGTATGATGTTGAAAATAAAAGCTAGTGTAGTTTGTTTGACTTTCAGGAACAGAATTTCTTAATGACTGCCAAACGTCCACAGAATCACAACGTCTGTAATTCGAAAGGTTTGAAACTTCTCCTACCCCGTGCATGTTTGTTTATTAAATATGTTGGCTAATTTTCAGCTAGCAGTAATGGGGCCAAAATGTAATATGACTTTGTCAGAATATCATTTTAAATTCAAAATGTTTTCAGTGCATCAGAGTTCTGTTCCTAAGAGCCTGAAAGTGCACTTTTCCCTTTGTGTGTGTGTGTGTGTGTGTGTGTGTGTGTTTGTGTGTGTGTACTAATAATCCTAGTAATAGGTATAATAATAATAATACTGTATTTGTATATTAGTAGTATTCGTACTGCTATTATCATTGTTCTTATTAAAAACTAATATTGTATAACTGAATAATAATTAATTCAACAACAACAATAATAATATTAATAATAATAATAATAATAAAATCAATACTGTATTTGAATATTAGTAGTATATTATTTGTATTGATTATTATGATGATTATTATTGATTATTATTATTATTATTATTAGCAATACATTGCAATATTAATTCATATTAGGCATTTCATCTGTGGTATTTTTGAAAGATCTTGTCTTTGCTGTTAGTTAGCACATGTTGAATACAAAAGCTGAAATGACAATCAGTTGTTTCATTCATTCATTCATTCATTCATTCATTCATTCATTCATTCATTCATTTCAATGGGCAAAACAGTACAGTCCATTTGCAAACATACTGGTAGTTCTAATAAATGTCGAATCAGCTGATCATCAAAGTAATTGTTCATTGCAGCCCTAGCAATAAAGATGATGCAGATTTTCCCACAAAATCAGCATAGAAAATATACAAAAACTTGCAGATTCTGCGTGGAGCTGGAACGGTTTTAATTTAAGAATAAACTAAATTAAACTAGATCATTAATGTCTTAGATCATTAATGCACACTAAATATTTCTAAACATTCAAATTAAATTTAAAAAGAAACATGCGCAAGGGAAATTCATGATGAATGTGACCTGTGGTTGTTTTGTTTTTTTGCGGTGTTTTATCTGGAACACTATAGAGAAAGTTTTGCTGAAGCACACATCTCTCAGCAGTCTGATGAGGTCAGCCACACACTGTGTGTTTTTGTTGTGGGCTAATGGAGCGTGAAACAGAGCCATGTGGTACTGACATCGCATCACTGCCTCCTAAGATAATATACACTATACACACGCGTAAGCGTGCCCCGGGGAGAAAAACAATTAATCGAATCCACCACGCAAGGCCTGCACAGGCGTCCGTCTCTCTCACAAAGCAAAGGGGTCAAAGTGAAGCAACCGGTGAGCAGTCAATATAGACTGATATGGAAAAAAAAAAAAAAGATTTGTGATAATTTTTTGGCTATATCACCCAGCCCTACCTCAGATGATGCCAACCCTGAAACAACACACAAACTACCCAATTTTGCTACAAGTTTGATCGCAATGGTTGTTTTGTTTTTTTGCGGTGTTTTATCTGGAACACTATAGAGAAAGTTTTGCTGAAGCACACATCTCTCAGCAGTCTGATGAGGTCAGCCACACACTGTGTGTTTTTGTTGTGGGCTAATGGAGCGTGAAACAGAGCCATGTGGTACTGACATCGCATCACTGCCTCCTAAGATAATATACACTATACACACGCGTAAGCGTGCCCCGGGGAGAAAAACAATTAATCGAATCCACCACGCAAGGCCTGCACAGGCGTCCGTCTCTCTCACAAAGCAAAGGGGTCAAAGTGAAGCAACCGGTGAGCAGCCAAGAACCTAAATCAGACATTTCCACATGCAGGCCATTCAGAGAGAGTTTTAAATAGCATGGCTGATGCAAACCATTGCAATCATGGCACTGACGTTTAGCGTGAGAACACCATACCAAGCTCAACTGGAAACCTCAGTCTGTTCTGTAAAATCCAAAATGCTAGTTTAACACGAGTCAGTGTGTCTCCGCTAGGATCCAGACATCTGAGACTGCTTCTGTTGTTTATTCGTTCTCATTTAATTAAAATGGAAAATAAATCACAGCTTTTCATTCTGGTCTGGTCTTCACTATATATACATATTACATACATTTTATATACACCATTCAAAAGTTTGGGATTGGTAAGATATTTTATGTTTTTATATGTTGAAAGAAGTCTCTTTTGCTCACCAAGGCTGCTACATTAAACAAAAAATAAAGTTAAAACAGTGAAATATTATTACAATTTAAAAAAACCATTTTCTATTTGTTAATAGTGTTCACCATCTGTTTGATTACATGTCATTAACTAACCGCATGATTTTTACCGTACATTTCTGCCATATGGACATCAACTTGACATAGTCACCACTGATAAGCTACTTCTAAATATAATGTAGAAACTTGAATTTTCTGTAAAGCTGCTTTGCAATGATTTGTATCGTGAAAAGTGCTATACAAATAAACATGAATTGAATTATTATAATTATCAGTGTAGAAAACGCTTTATGATGTTGCTATGGTGACCCATACTTAATACAATATACAGTATGAATGTCATTGGACTGGATTAAAAAAAAAAGTATTTTTATGTCAGTGGTACTGTAATTAAAATGGACTAGTAGATCAGTTGACTAATCCAGTTAGCATATCTGGATTGCTGCTTTATTTAAGCCAGACTCTTTACAGTCTATATTGTCTTTCTCTATTTCCTGACTGTTGATCATGTTCAATTTTATGACTTCCAAGCATTCAAAAGTCATAGAAATCAATAGAATCTGAAGTCACAGAAGAGTCTGGAAATGTCTCTGCTGAATTCAAATCTTATATTTAATATTTAAATTCTATATATTCTGTAGAATTATATATATATAATGCATTTAGAATCTTATATAGTTATGTTCAGCATTACAATATTCATAATGTCTTATGAATATTCAAACAATATTCTGTACATGAATTCGGTAACATTTTACAAAAAGCTCCCATTTATATTGAAGCACGTTTCCACCACATAATTAAAAAAATAAAAAGTAATTGTGACTTTATATCTCACAATTCTGACTTCTTTCCTCTGAATTCTGAGTCACTAAGTTCTGTGTGTTCATTTGTTTGTTTTGTTTCTGCCATGAAATAAAAAAATAAAAAAAAGGTATTTGCAACTTTTTAATCTCACAATTCCGACTTTTTATTCTCACCATTCTGACAAAAAGTCACAGTTAAAAAGTTGCAATTACCCTTTTCATTTTTTTATTATCCTGTGGCATAAACAAGCTTCCATATATTTAACATGAGATAATGCATGTTAAAGAACGACATGTTTTACAGTATTTATAAGTTGTTCATTGTTTGTGAAGGAGTGTATTTGGCATAGAAAAATTATTGTCATACGCCCAACTCATTTTTTGAAACTTTGACCATATTTAGCATGAAAATCCAACTCTTTAGCAGTGTAAATAAGTCAAAATGCATGAAACAGCATTAGGCCTCCCCTTTAATATAAAAAAAGCTTATCCAATTGGAAAATTCATGGAAATTTATAAGTCAAAGGGTGTGGGAAGCCTAATAGAAGGTCTGTGCAGTAAATTTGTTGCGGTGCGGAGATTTGAGTCATTGTTTTAAGATATAAGAGGTAGGCCTGTCACGATAACAACTTTTTGTTGTGCGATATATTGCCCCAGAAATAATTGCGATAAGCGATATTATTGTCATTTTACACACTTCCAAATGACAACAAACTTTTAATTTTTAAGAATATTTAGATCATGGAAATTAAGTATCAAAATATTAGATACCTTAAAAAACCTGAATAAATAGTAAATAAACATTTTCTAACAAAAAGTGCAAAGTAATAAGTAGAAAAAAAGAAAAATGCACAAAGAACTTGTATGGAGATTCTTTCATCTACAGATTTTTCCCGGACGTTCTTTTCTCTATAAAATAAGGGTGCACACTATTGCTGAAAAACACAATCACTACTTAGCAGTCAGATGTCCGTATGCACAAAGGCACAGATCCCTAAACAAGGCCATATCTGCAGATGAAACTTTGTTTGTAGAAGCATTTTTTTAATTTCAACTAGCACCTCATGACTACACCATGTTATGTACGAGAAGCTGCAAAAGACACAGGCGCAAGCGGAATTTACAAAACATGGTGACATTAATTTTTAAGTAAATATAATGGGCGATATATTGCGTCACCAAAAATTATTGAGGTCATGTACATATATTGCGCGATAAGTCGATATATTGATTATTGCGACAGGCCTAATAAGAGGGAATAAAACCGATGTGCAATGTGTCTCCTGCAGGTCAGACCCCGCTGCGAGAGGCTTATTCAATGTCCTGTATTGCCAATGGCAGTTCCAGCAGCCGCAAATCTCACAGAGATAGTTCCACAGTGTCCATAGCCAAGAAAGAGACGCTCTCCTCCGCCGCCAAGAGGTAATGCACACACAACTGAAATGTGCAAATGATCTCAAAGCCTCCTCTACACATTTTGGATGTCTCCCTTCTCTGACCCATTTCAGCTCTCCACTAATGAGCTGATGATTTGAAGCAGGTGTGTTAGATTAGGGAGATATTAACAATGAGGTGTGATGGCAAACCTCCATGACTGGTTTGGGAAACACTGTGTTAGGATACTCTTAATGAATTTTTAACAGACACGCTTTTAAAATCAATATAATCAACAAAATACAGTCGTCTGGAAAAATGCTGTCAAAAATATTGACGACTCATCTTACGCTGACGATTTCAAATGTTGGTGCATTCAGCTCTGTTTAATATGTGATGTTCTTTCAGCCTGAAGAAATATATTCATCTGAAAGTCTGTGAGTGTTTCACCTCAGTGTTGAGATGCTCAGCTCTCCTCATCTTTTCATGTGTATCGGATCTTCCTCTGTTGACCTGCATGTTGTTTTTGCAGTGGTGGCGAGCGGAAAAAAGACAAGCCTCCGATGGAGGGGATCAAGGAGAAAGAGGAGCCACCACAAGCTAACGATAAAACCCCCTCAGCGCCCA